TGCAAAAAAAAGAAAGAAAGAAATTGTCACTATCTGAATATGGTATAATTAGCTACACAGTAAGCTCAAAATCATGTATAGGCATCATATTAGAATAAATCTCAAAATTTAGCAAGGTGGAGGCAGCGCCTGTGGCTCAAGGAGTAGGGCGCCAGCCCCATATATACCAGAGGTGGCGGCTTCAAACCTGACCTGGCCAAAAAAGAAAAAAAAAATTAGCAAGGTGGTTGGATATAAGATCAAACCTCAAAAATCAACTCCATTTCTATATGTAAAATAAAATTTTTTTTGAATGCCATTTACACTAATCTATATTGACAGAGATCAGGCTGAAGGTTTCTTGGGCATGGCAGAGAGTGAGTAGGAGGGAAGGAGCACGAAGGGATGCAGGAACCCTCTGGGGAGTGATGGATATGTCACTAACTTGATGTGGCAAAGGCTTGGCAAGAGCATGCACCTAGCAAATTGTATTTATGGGAGTAAGTAGTTATCAAACCTATCAAAATGTACGGTTTATTAGTATCAATTATACTTCAACAAAGTGTTAGTGATCACACAAACACTGTACACTGCTGTGGATATAAAATGGTACAATACCTTGTAAAACAACTTAATACCCTCTAGTAAAAGTAAATACCTACATGTCCCGGAGCCCAAAAACTGCACTCCTAAGTATGCACCCAGAGCAGTATTTCTTAAGGAGGTCTTTGTAGGAACTGTGCATTGTGCAGGACTGTCTAATATTCTGCATGATATTTTACTCTCTAAGCACCTCCCCTTAAATGCCTAGCCCCAGAGCGTCCCCACGCAGCAAGGACACTGGTATTCACCAAGCACTTTATCTGCTTCTCCACATTTCCCAGACCCCTTGCAATTAAGGCAGAGATATGTGATTGGCCTGGTCAATGAGCCATGGGTAGAAGTGTTATGTGTCACTCCTGCATCCAAACATCTAAGAGCCAGTGAATGACCCTCCAGTTACCTTTTTCCCTGCCAAAGCAACAAAGGAAGACTCCATATCCCAAAGTTATTTAAGAATAAAACAGTAGAGCTTCCATCAGGCTGGGAGAAAATAGAAATTCCCACCCTACATCCCCACTGACCCACAGTGGAGATAGAATGTGAGTTAGGAATACCTGTTACATAATAAGCCACCAAGATGGGAGGCTGTGGTGGTTCCCTGGCAAAACATAAGCCTATATTAACTGATAATTTGATTGTTCAATCATTTGACCATCAAAACATGTATATGCATATTACCAAACATGCCTTGGGCACAATAACTCTAGTTGCAAATTAATTCCCAAGAAAAAGTACTTGCAGGAGGCCTATCAACATAAGACTGTCCATGGCACTGTTCAGCAAAAAACTGGAAGTAACCCAAATGTCCATCAGCAGGAAAATTACTTAGGAAATTATGGAAATTGTAGAATGCTTACAGAGTGGAACATTACACAGAAATAAAACCATATAAGCAACACAGAATCTCATTATAAAACATTACCCTGAGTGAAAAAATTTAGTGACAGAAGACTCCATGCAGTACAATAACATTTTTATACAGATCATAAACAAGCAAAATATAGCACATGATATAATTTATTTGAAAAAAATAATAAATTGATGCAGACACATTCTAGGACAGTAGATACCCCTGGGGTGGGGGTGCAATGGGACAAATACAAAAAGGACACAGGTAGAAGGAAGATTGGTATTAGTACTGCTGAAGTTCCTAAATTGAAAGATTGGTATTGGTATTGCTGAAGTTCCTAAATTGAAGAGTAGGTTAACAATTATTCAGTTTATTATGCTTCATACTTTAGCAGATACTAAGTATTAAAGTATATTATCTAAAAATCTATGTTAAATTCTAAGAACAAATTAAATATACAATGATTAAGATGTATCTATTAAACTTTTTAATAAGTTAAATTTTAAGAGGTTTTTTAACAGCAAAACGATTATTATTTGAAAATGTAAACTAGTGACCATGCTCAAGTAGTGTATCAATTGTACCACAGCAACAATAGCTAGGCTTTGATCATTTTACCTCACATCTTATTTCTAGCTCTTCCATATAAATTAATAATAAAAAATAGGCTAGGCACAGTAGAATTGTGCCTGAAATTACAGAATTACACCTGTAATTCTAGCACGCACGGAGTCTGGGACCAGTGGATTGCTTGAGCTCAGGATTTTGAGCAGCGTGAGCAAGAGTGAGACCCGATCTCTAAAATTAGCTGGGCACTGTGGCCGGTGCCTATAGTCCCAGATATTAAGCAGGCTGAGACAAGAGAATCACTTGAGCCCAAGAGTTTGCGGTTGCTGTGAGCTGTGATGCCATGGCTCTCTACTGAGGGTACCAAGGACAATAAAGTGAGACTCTGTCTCAAAAAATAAATAAATAAACAAACAAATAAACATTAAAAAATAAAATCCCTTCCATTTACTCTCAATTTTTCCCTTAACATCAGAACAGGATGGAAAAAAAGTAATAGACAAACATTAATGAAAGCTCAGATTGCAAAGAGTAAATTATTTTTCCCTAACTTAGTCAATAGGTTTTAAAGACTCAGACTAAATGTACACAATTATTTTTAAAGGCATACTGTAGAACAGGTTTTACAAGGTTTGCTTGCAAAAAGAGGAAGCTATTAACTTTCAATTCACTCAATAGTAGAAGTCCATCCAATAACAGGCCTGGGAAACAGGACAAATCTCTAGCTCTGAATGAAAATGCTAATTATAACTGAATCTGCTGACCTTATCTGAACATTCCCCATGCTTTCCTGCCTCTGTCCCATAATAATCTTTCTGACCATCTCCTTCCTATGTCAAAAGATTTTTTATCCTTCAAATTCCATCATAATTGCCACCTCCTTAATTACAAAATTCCCTCTTAACCCCCCATGAAATATAATTTCTCTTCCCAATAACCTCCCACAGTACTTTTATGCACCTCTCTTACAGCAGATAGGTTGTGTACATCTTTTATTTCCTGATAAAAATGGGCAGGGATGGCAACATACCCATCTTAGTATTTCAGCCATGCCAAGCACAAAGCCTTACTCTCAGAGGACATTAAATAAATAGTTACATTCAATTTGCCTATCCAAATGCCCAGCATTATAAAGAAGGAAAAGACAGACTGTCAACCTAACAAAGCATCAAACATTAAATATGCATGTCTATGATGACCTATGGCAGTAATATTGATGATTAATTTTTTCAGTTATCCATCCAAAGGACAAAAACCTTAGTTATTAAGTATCAGCCACTGTAGTCACTAACTCTTCAATGCTCAGATAAAAGTTAAGGAGCAATGGTTTCAAAATGGGTGACCAAAATAGATTTAAATATGTACCTTGCAGCCTGACCAAAATCTATTTTTGAAAATGATCAAGTCTTCTTAGAACTAGAATGTAAAAATAGTAGAGAGGAAAAAACTGACCTGGGCTATTTATTCATAAGGA